GCAGTGGCGACCACTAACCTCGGGCGAGGTCATTGAGGTACATTTTCTACTGGAACCACCAACACCAACTAGAAAAAGGGTTAACGTAGTACGAAAGCGGGTGTTGTGGAAATCACCCTACTTAAAATTTGTATGGAAGCAGTTATTTCCGTGGTTAAGTTAAAGGCCAATTTCGCTTAGCATACTGATTTAAGCGGTTATGGTATGCGGTGACCTTCGGAGGACCGCTCTGCAGTTCAATGCCATCGTCAAATCCTTGCTGGATCGACGGATGACGTGTAGAAAACTGCAAGATTATGGGCAATTCAACCTACTTAAAAAATAAGTAGGTGGCTATAATACATAAGGGCTTTTGGAAGGCCCCTCTTGGTAACCCTACCAATCCTTCATCTTAAGGCCCTGCCATACTCCTGATAGAGCTCCTCCTGTAAATACTTGTTGTTCCTGTTGGTTACTGGCAGCATAGGTGGTCATGTGTTCGAAACCTGTTCTACAATAACAGCTAAGTTCCTGGACGCAGACGAATTTCATGCAGTGTTTTCGTCATTGACGTTCACCATTTGAACAATGTTCCAAAGTTGTTTGAGATTATATGGAATTATGTTAAGTTCCGTATGAAAAAAATAGACTTCTATCTTCTGCAACGCACACTCACAGATATCCTTTCCAGTGCACTGACTTTTTATCCGCCAACCTTTTCTTTCTGTCAACTCCTCGATATTTTGGTATCCCATTTAATCTGATCACTTTTTCCCTCTCTTTATTCTGCCTACCTATCCAGCTACTAACTGTTCGTCGCCGACTGCGACTACTCTGCGGTCTGCCGAAATGCGAAGAAAATCCGTCTGCCGCAGCAGCCATAGTAACAACCTTGAGAAGCCTTTTCGCGCACCTGCGAACCACTTGCCTGCCCTTCCTGCGTATCGCTGCCTTCATCATGCAGGAGATTACGGCCATCGATGTGCCTGCCGCCACGCTTCGCCAGCCTTCTGCTGGTAGTTTTTTGTTGTTTCTCGTTACCCATAAATATATGCATACAGGCGGAGAGTTTGTAGGTTGTCTATTGTTGAATGTCATGTTGAGAACCTGGGCATCTAGCAGAAATCGCATGCAGGACTCTGGGTAACTCGCGTTCGAGCTGAAATTCTCCTAGCTGCAGTATGCGGCTACGTAAAATACGAAAGCGCAAGGCTGTTTTGGGTGTTTCACGAGACATTTTGGTGCGCAAGCAAACTTCTCATTCCCTCAACAACTGAATTTGGATCCCAGGTCTACGTTGCTGACCAAGTATATCAGCCGCGATGTTTTAACCTCTGTGTGTTCCTGTATCAACACCGGTTATGTTCCCCCAGTGCGCGTTAGGAACAGAAGACAGAATGGGATAACAACTAGTACTTTACTGTCACTTGTACTAGTACATGAACTCTGGTCCGTGTGTCCAGCAGTAGCCTTCTGTGGTCGGTCTCGTCTAGGCAGCAGTCTCGTCTAGGCAGCGTATCCACAACAGAGTCCCCGTTCTGTTCTCGCCTCGCTATTCAAGGGGCAGTCGTCATTGCTCCCCATTGGCTCTCCAGTGGTCGTGCGCGCTCCGCTAACGCTCGCCTGTGCGTCTGTCCTCAGCGTGACCTCACTCGGCTTGGCTCGACTCCAGTGCAGTCTGGCTTCGGGTGCACCTTCTTTGTCCAGGCATTATGTCCACCCTTTGAAGGTCGTGCGACATGGCCCGTTGTGGATGCG